GTTTTTTCCCAAAGAATTGCTAAGAAAACAGCTGTTATTCTTGAAAGACTAAAACATACTAAATATGATCAGCAGATACATTGTAAATAAAAATGCAAATATCCATCATTTGCACATAAGGAAAAGATTTGCCAGGTCTTGCCACTCATTTGCTGAGCGAAACTTTGTAAGTTCTTACACACGACTTTAGTAACACATGAGTATTACTCTTAGTGTGAGAAGAGTCTCCTAAAATATGCAACACCTGCTATCACATAGAGTAACTAATTAGAACCAAATTCCCAGCCAATCACAAAAAGTTCAGCTCTGATTGCAACTCCCTCTGGATAGTGCTAATACTGAGGTGAGTCGCTGATGTGAGCAGTACACGTGGAACTCATCCATGGATGTTGGTCTTCCACACTCTTATCCTATGAATGTGCATCAAAGCTCGCAGAGAACCCACTGAGAATGGAATTCAGAGCACCACCTAAGTTCTTCACTAGGCTTAGTTGTGGGCCCTGACCACATTTTCTAACATTTTCTGATGGCATCAGCTTTAGGTTCAGCATTATGTCCAATATGCCTGAATTACAGTCAACTTGGGAAAATATGCCCTAGCTCTCTATGAGAAATCATAATAAAGAAGGAAATCAACAACCATAAAGACTCTGAATGAGAGTAATGACTGTCAGCTGGAGGGCATCCATTTATTAGGAGCTGGAGCAATTTGAAGTCATGTTAATAACACGTAATTCTAAAGTAGGCCTGTCGAGTAAGTCAGGAGAGACACGTGTGGGGAAAAAAACCCACACACATAAGGCATACAACAAGGGCTCTTAGACAATAAAAACCAGGTGTTATCAGTAGATCAAAAAGTCACCTTGCTGAAGAAACCAGTCCAAACAATTTCATCTTTAATCTGGTGTCTCTTGAACCTATTTCTCATTCCTTTCTGCATCAAATCATGTTCAACATAAGGATTTAGTATTTAAACTACACATGAATTGAGATGTTAAACCATGACTGTACTGCACAGTGGTGGCTATTTACCTCACGAAATGTAAACTAGAACTTAATTGCTGAATTAGATCAATTGTCAAAGAGTGAAGCATAAATGAAGTGCTGTGCTGTGTGCCCGGTATGATTGCTCTTGGAGTAAAGATACTGGAAACAGTCCTAGTACTTACTGTGCAGCTCGGCTTAGGTGTTGCGATTCAAAACCTCTCATTCTTCCCTTTTCACTTTGTATTGATATGTAGTTTAATTTCATCTGTTTTAATAAAACGAGTGTGATGTGTTAATATAAAGTTGTGTTCTAAAGGGAATATTTATTTAGGCTGGGATAGAAAACCGAAATAAATTGCTGAAGATTCAGATACCTTTTGTCTGAGCTTTCTTTGTAGAACTTTCTAGAAGTAATTACAAAGAAGTGCTCTTTGTTTATGGATTGATTTGTACGACTTTTCTGCAATATTCTATGACACTTAGGAACTCTCAGAGTTCACAGGGACTTGTAAAGTTAAAGACTTTAGATTGAATTTGCATCATGATAAATGAAGTACAGAAGAATAATCAAATTAATAGAAAGGAAAAGAAAATCAAAGGATCTATTCCTATTATTATCTATTCCTATTAGTTCAAAGGATCTAAGAAACTGATGGTATTGAAGATGATGATGTCATTTGAGCAAAGGTAGAAGTGAGGATGTTTATATGTCTGTGGCTTTACACACAGGGCTTTGAGGATAAACTTTACACCCCTGAATACATTCAGCTGACTTTACAACAGATTCTGGCATTGAAATACCTACAAGAAACAGGGTAGAAAAGCAGAGTCTGGGAAGACATTAAAGAAAGGAGGTTTGGAAATGGGGAAAGAAAAGGTATTCAGAAAGGCAGTGTAAGAAAGTACTACTTTGAGAGAGACATAGGCACAGACACAGAGACTGCTTAAAGAGCTATGTTGAGTGATACCATCGAGCAAGCCATTCCACTGACACGCCGTTCACCAGACTCTTATGCGTGGCACACGTGCAAGCCGTAAGCAGTTGCCAGAATACACCTGTGGGAACAGACATGGTGTTACTTGTTACATGGTGTTACTTCCATCCCTCAATTCACAAGATTAGAAAAATGAATGGATCTCGTGAGCTCCCATTAGAACAGGCACACTGCCTCAGTTGGTGAACCAACCCCTCGCGGTCCTGACTTCCTTGTCTTCTCCCTCCTTTTGCCTGTCAACTGGACCTTGGAAGCTCAGTCCGTAGCTCTGATGAGGGTCTCTGTCTCTGTATCTCTGATGAGGGTCTCTGTCTCTATGTCCGTCCGTTGCCAGACGAAGATTCTATGGTGATATTTGAGATAATCATCAGTGTGATAGTGGGGCAAGGACAGTTCAGGCACCCTCTCCTCTGCAGTCCAAGGACCTAGCTGGGGACATCCCCGTGGACACCTGGGATCCCCTCTAGAGCTAAGTTTCTTGTCAACCCTAAAATGGATCCCTTACTGTAGGTATCTTCTTCCCTGCTCCTATATCCGCCCTTCCTCCATCTCCACCCTTCCACTCCCCAAAAGCTGTTGCCAGTCCGGATCTGAATGAGCATGTGATCAAACCGGACTCTCTGATTGTGGCTGACAATGGGGGCTGACTGAGAAGCCATTGATAAAGGCACTGGGACTTGTTTTTATGGCATGTTCTGGCTTTTGGGGACCCTAGTCTATATGGATGCACAGCTCCCTAGGCCTGGATGTAGGGGGGAGGGCCTTGGACTTCCCACAGGGCAGGATTCCCTGACCTCTCTCAAGCAGAGTGGGAGAGGGAAGAGGGGTGTGGGGGAGCAGGAGGGGATTGGGAGGAAGGAAGGAAGTGTAAATAATTGAATGGAAAAATAAAAAATAAATAAAATATAAAGAATAAAAATGAATGGAAAGGTCACTAAGTTCAGGGGTAACTCTCCTATGTGCCATGTCTTAGGTCATTTTAAAACAGTCCTGGCCTCTTTCTCTCTCCTCTCATCTTACACGCATACACAAAAGTTCATGCAAAGAAGTACTCACAAAAGCATTCAAGCATACATGTGCATCAACATGAACAGCTTTAAACACACACTAAGCTGCCTTGCAGCAGATTCTAGCTGAGACTGTTGGATTCCTCTAGTGCTTCACACATAGGTCCTAAACATTCTGTTTACAAGAAAACTATGCCCAAGGCTGCCTGATGCCATGAGTCTCAGCATCCTCCAGTACATCGCTAGTGTACTGACTTTTAGTAGGCAGAAATCATAAATAATCTCTGGTGCCCACTGTCACCTCACAACAGTGAGGTTCTATTCCCTCCTTCATTTACTGTGTGGATTGTGTAGTCATAGTCAAAAACTTATTTCTCTGTGTTCAAGATTTCAAATTTAATACTTCTAAACTTGTTAACGTTCATGTATGTGGTGTGGATGTCAATCCCAGGCCCTTATAGGTACAAGGCTTGAATTCTACGAGTGAGATATAAACTAATAGCTATCATTTCTCTGCCTGCTTTTCTTTTCATTCACTTCAACCTGGAAATTTCAGTGCTGTTCCTAGCACTTTACTGTACGATGCTGTTCCTGGCACTGCACTGTGTGTGTTCCACCAGTTTATTTCCCACTGTCCTTCCTTTGCCTTCAATTACTGTTGAAATTTGGATCTTTGTTACTTCTAAAAAAACTGAGACCGTGAAGTTGATTGGACTGCCTCTGCTCCAAACTCCAGTATTGGCACCTATCTCTGCATCCGTGACATCTGATCAGATTCTAGTTACAGTGTCAGGAAAATTTTCTCAGAGAACCAGTGTTCTCTGTTTTTTGATTTGTCTTTATATTTCCAGAATTGTCCATTGCTTTTCTTCACACACAGACTCACCAGGAAAGCAAGCCGCCGATCCTTCTCTGTCTCGGTTCCCTTTGAAGTGGCTTTAAGCTTTCTCCTCTGTTCCTACCTGTTCAAATCCTTCAGTGTGCATAATACTTTGAATATACCTCATTCGTAGAACTTGTCACTTCCTGTCAATTTCATGAATAACGTTTCCCATTTACATGATTTTATACCCATTTCCCCTCTTTTAAAGTTACCTTTATTGAGTGCTTGAGAACAAAGTACACGACTAATTAATCTTCATAACTTGCACAATTCTTAGCAAAATTATTTGCAAATTATAGACAGTTAAGGATACAAGTTAATGGGGTAGGAGAAATTGTTTAGTGTTTATCAATGCTGGCTGCTCTTCCAGAAGACCTGAGTTCAGTCTCCAGCACTCATGTTGAACAGGTCATAACTGCCTGGAACGGCAGCTCTAGAGAATCCTACACCAGCTCGGGCCTCCATGAGTACCTACATACACATGCATACTTGCATACATACACACAAGTAAAAATAAAATTTAATAAAAAATAAGAGTGTGCAGGAATTATTAAATAAGTATTATTTTACATGCCAAAATAAAATTCTAATCTATTCTCATTTTAAAAGTACAATTATTTATTATGCAAAATATTCATATTCATACACATTGTAAAAAAATAGTAACTGGTGCTCAGTGGATAAGAGTGCTTGAATTTCTCAGGCAGAGGAGCCAAGTTTAATGACTGGCACTGAGTTTGAACACTTCACAGCACATGGAACCCGACTATAGGGAGTCCAGTTCTCTCTTCTGGCAGCCATGGGCACCCCCTCACACACACATGTATATATTGACACACATATACATATGCACACATATTTAAATGGTTAAATAAATAATTTAAAAGGTTTCTAAACTTCCTGTGTTGATTAAAGTTTTGTATAATGTCTATGTATTGTAGAGAACAGATAAACAACCCCATTCTTAAAGAAATATTAGAATCTCACCAGGATGACTGACCCTAAGTATGCTTTTCATTTCAACACATCAACTACCAAACTATAGTGATTTTCCATGTAATATCTCCAAGACTAGAAAGAAAACTGAGACATTCATTTTATGCTTAAAGACTATTCTTTATTTCCCAGGTGTGATGGGAGAATATGAGCCGAAAATTGAGGTCCATTTTCCTTTCACGGTTACAGCTGCTAAGGGAACAACTGTAAGGATGGAATGCTTTGCACTTGGCAAGTAAGTAATGTTATTCTAGAATTAGACACAGTTGTTTATTAAAACATGACTCAGCTGTTTGGAGCACTTATTTTGCTAGGTTTCACTTTCCCAGAAGCCCCATGGTGACGATAGAGTTTTTAGAAGAAGGGAGGCTGGGAATTGATAGGCAACCTGGTCTCTTGAACTGTTAAGTCATTTCTATGCACAGCACTCTTTGGGAAATGTGTTATTTTAACATCAAGGAAGCCTGTCTAGATTGCAGAAAAGTTTTCGACCCTCTGTCTGCCGACCTGAAAATCTGCATTGTCCTGAGATTTTCTTCAGCGGGAGATGAAAGGACAAAGGATCCTCCGCTATTCATGTTCAGGACATGGACATTTAGAGTGTGAAGACTTTAAAGACACACAGCTCAGAGGTAGAATGCTTGCCTAGTAGGGCGGGACTTAAATGAAATCCCTAGAACCACAAAGGAAACAAGAGGGTAAGCGAGCCAAGGGGAATTACTCCAGGAAATCCTTGCTATGCCAGAGCAAGAAACAGATGGTGGTCATGAAACCCACGTAGAGAAATCAGACAGGTTGTTTGCTCTTGTTCGTGCAGCACCTGGGAGACAGACAGGTAGGCTCTGTGGAATGCTGGATCCGGCCTCCCTGGACTACTTGACAAATTCCAGGACAGTGAGGGGCTCTCTCACTAAAAAGCAGATAGTGTTTGAGCAAGCACCAGAGTTTGTCTTCTGACTCCTATGTGCACATGCATGCATACCTGCACATATCCAAACATGCACACATATGCAAACCTACTGGAGATATGTGCTGTAAGAGACAGAGGTACAGGGATCAAATTGAGTATCCCACTGTGTTTTAAAATAGTAACATGAGAACAAAGCTGTTAATTTCTCCAAATAAAAGATGGTTGAGAACACAACCATCTTTTGTGGTTAGGTTGGCTAGGCTGAGTGACCCTGCTTCTGGTTTAAAGCCTGTGCTGTGTAGTTGCTTGTCAATGATGTCTACAGTGCAGGCACTAGCATGTGCAGCAGGAGTGTTGCTCTGATGATATTTGATTATGGTATTCTGGTTTGTTTCAAACACAGAGTTATTATTTTTAGAATGACAAAACCTCGGGGTTCTTTCAAGATCTATAATTATAATTTGTATAAATGCATCTCTTTCACAGTTACTAATCATTTAACTCCAGTTGTGCTAAACTAACACCCACAGTATTACATAGATAGAAAACATGTTTCAGAAATGTGCAGCCTTCTGAATAACAGCAGGCTCAGCCTGTGGAGCAGCAGAATCCAGCCAGAGGGTTACGGAGCAATACTCAGCACCTTGTGTTATACTTTCAGGACAGACATGATAAAATGTCTATGCAATTCCACTCACATCCAAGATCGTGGTAGACAAAACAGTTAACATCTCTGTAGCCCGCTGTTTAAGCAAATGATTCCACAGTGGAAACATAATTTAAAAGGAAATAAGCATGAGGGAGGTATGTTGTCATGTGATCGTGTGCCCGAGGAGCTCTTTCAAAGCCAAAGGCATCAGGGAAGTGCACGCGACAGGATGATACCTTTAAACTCTAGTGTTGCTGCCATTTGCCTGGGAGCAGTCAAAGTCCAACTCCTCATCTTGACAAATGGAAAAGTATTATATTCCAATGGGATTTCAAAGGCTTTAGTATATCCTGCAGTTAAATAATTCTTAAATGCCAAAACTTGTGTTAAAGCCAAAACAAAAAAGGGGTCATATTGTAAAACTAATTAGAAAACTCAATTTATAGAGGAAAAATAGCAGCATAGAACCTTTCCCCGGGCAGCTTATTTAATAAGTTAGATGTGTTTGTTTGGGAGAGCTTTGAGATATGCTCAGCAAACGGACACTTGGAGACTCTCTCCTGCTACGTAGGACCCAACAGTTTTAAGTTATTTATTTTGTCAAAACTTTATCTTTTCCAACTTCCTATGCTTTCCTTGCTTCCACTCACCAAAATAAATAACCTCCAAAAGAAGTCTTTCCTCCCAAAGACTTACTGCATCTTTCTCTGATGAATGCTTAGTACTTTTTCTGTGAATTGTGATGACTGGAGGGTAAATCATTATGAGGAAATACACAAGCACCTAAAACTCACCTGCCACCACATAAAAGAAAATGACTTAAAGAGGCATCTTGACCTGTTTGGATTCCTCCTTAGCATTTCATGAATACTGAAGTTTTAAATGGCTATCAGAGTGGTTGTTGGGTACTCATAGCTCGAATGAGTTGCTGACCACTTTTCTGATGCAGTAGGTCCTGCTGTACATTTTCTCTAGAACTGTAGTATCTGTCTCTCGGTGTCAGTCAGGATCTAACCACACAGACAGATTTTGCCTCTCATTGTGTGTACATAGGGTGATTTAACCAGGCGCCCCTCATAAACTCTTCCTCATAAACATCTGACTGGATTCTGGAATGGCAATCTCAGAACTCCATTGATTTTTATAGTCTCATAGTCTTTGCACTCATTCTTTTTAAATCCAAAACCACCACCCATTACTTCCATAACAGCTGCCATCCACTGCTCCATTAAAAAGATTCTTTATATTGATTATTGTATATATGACTAACAATACATTGATGGACTATTGTGTATGACTTATACTTAATACACTGCATACAAAATACTATATGCATTTTCATCTACAACATCATTAATGTAATTTTAAATTATTTATACTCAAAATGAGTCTTCATCAGTTAGGAACCCAGAAGAAAATGGATTACAACTCAGATTAAAAAAACTCAGGAGTGGGTCAAGTTGAATATCTGTAATTGTGGTAAGGCTGAGAAGAAAAAGAAAAATGGGACATCTGTAGACTTGGAGCAGTGCGAACTCAATATTACCTGCAAGAGAATGGAGAGCTCATGACACCAGAACAAGAAAGAGCTGGAGATGAGGGGCTAAGCTGTGGAGAGAAAGTTACTCTGGCCCAGACAAGAACATGGATGAAAGAAACCTCAGGAATTTACTTATTGATTTCTATTTCTTTTCATTTCTCATCTTCTTTGGTGGTTCCCATGAAGGCAAGTAGAAATTTCCCACTCAGTTAGCTTGCAATGTAGAGGATGCAGCCATCAGGGAAAGTTTAGAGGAAAAACAATGGCAAGCAGGAAGAAGAGAGAATAGCCAGCCAAGTATCCCTGTTGTAGACAGCAGTCTCATGAGAACAGAGCTTGTGTTCCTCAATTGCTCACCACTGTGGCCTCCCCCAGTGGATCGTACTCAAGATGGTACTCAAGGAGGATGGTACTCAAGAAATAACAACTGATGAAATGAATTATTTTTGACATACTAAGTCCACTTAGGTCAACTACTTATTTATAAATAACTTATTTATACTCCACACTAAAATGTACCTATGTTTGTGTTTTCTGTACTTCTCTCCATGGATCTGTGATCATCTATTCTATTCAAATACAGTCATTCTCTGAACTTGACCTTTCCTCACTGATTCTTGCCTCCATTTGTTCATTTCCCATTGCTTTAGATTTACTGCTTCTCCATCTTGTTTAGATTAAGTAATAATGTTTATCATGAGATCTAGTCTGGGAATTAAACCTTTACTTTTCATCCCAAGGTATATTTTGCTGATGTTTATCCTATGTAAGAAGTGTGGATCTAACTAAGAGAAACATTTATCATATACAAAGTTTAAAAAGAAGGAGTGTGTGTGCGTGCTGGTATGTGTGTGAATGGGGGATGGAAGAGAAGAAGGGAGGGAAGGTTTGTTCCAGTAATGCATTTAGGGTTAAAGAATAGATGACCATAAATATAAACTACTGTTTTAAATCTTTCTCGATTATATTGATGCAGTCTAGGTTTTCTTTTCTTTTCATTTTATTTTATTTTTTAAGAAAGAAAACAAACTTTGTTTTTATTTTACATACCAATCCAAGTTTCGTCCATCCATTTATCCCCCTACTCTACCCCATCCACTCCTCAGAGAGGTTAAGGCACATTGCTTTGGGGAAGTTCCAAGGTCTTCCCTACTGTATCTAGACTGAGCAAGGTATTCAACCAAAGAGAACAGGTTTCCAAAAGGCCAGTACAAGCAGTAGGCATAAATTCTGGTGCCACGGCCAGTGGTCCCCTAAGTCTACCCCAGCCATGCAACTGTCAACCACATTCAGAAGGACAAGTTTGGAGCTATGCTTGTTCCTTCCCTGTCTGGCTGGAGTTGGTGAGCTCCCATTAGTTCAGGTAGACTGTTTCAGTGGGTGTTCACATCATGGTCTCTACCTCTTTGCTCATATTCTCATTCTTCCCACTCTTCAGCTGGACTTTGGGAGCTCAGTCTAGTGCTCCGATGTGGGTATCTGCCTGTTTCCATCAGTTGCTAGATGAAGGTTCTATGGTTAGATTATTCTAACCATTGAATAATCTAAGGTTATGATATTCATCAGTCTGACTACAGGGCAAGGCCAGTTCAGGCACCATCTCCTCTATTACTTAGGGACTTAGATGAAATCATTCTTGTGGATCCTGGGAATTTCTTAGAACCAGGTTTCTTGCTAAACCCATAAGGGCTCCCTCAATCAAGATCCTTTTCCTTGCCCTCATCTCTGTACTTCCTCCATCTTGACTATCCCATTCCCTCAAGTTCTCCTACCCACCTCTCCTTCTTCCCTCCTCTTCCTCTTCTACCTTCCCTTCAACCCCACCCCCATGCTCCTAATTTTGTCAGCAATCTAGTCTATTTTGACTTTCTAGGTGGATATGTATATGTTTTTCTTAGGCTTCACCTTGTTATTTAGCTTCTGTAGGATCATGAACTAAAGGCTTATTGTCCTTTTTTATAGCTAGTGTTAACTTATGAGTGAGTACATATTCATATTTTTGGGTCTGGGTTGTATCACTAAGGGCAGTGTGTTCCAGTTCCATCCATTGGCTTGCAAATTTCAAGGTATCATTATTTTTTTGATCACTGAGTAGTACTCTAATGTGCAAATGTGCCACATTTTCTTTGTCCATTC